GTCTCCTTGTCAATGCGAGTGAGTCCAGCACACACTGTCTGCACTTCTTTGTTGTACATCTTCAGGCGTTTCCCCCTCATATCTTCCCGGTGTTTCTTTTTCTTTTTTTTCTTTATCTTCTTCATAATAAGACCGTCAGCTCGCTGGGTTTTGCCATTTTCATCTGGAGTTTCTGGCAGCAACAAAAAGGGAAGATTAGAGTTCTGCAGTTGCAGCATATTCACCCCAAAAGAATTAAGATATCTCATTTGCTGAAGCTATCTATTCCCAGGAAGGCTGACCAACAGTAATGCTTTGACTTACAAGACTTAATTATACAACAAAAATCGCAGCACATCCAGTTATTGTGCAAAGAAAGCCTTGACCTGAATTAAGGAAAACTTCCAAAACTCAAGCTTAATATTTTAGAAATACTTCAAATTTTAATAGATCTATTAGAATACCTTTAAAAGTAGCCCGTATTTCAGAACAACTATAATTAAGTACACTATTAACTTCTGACATTTAAGGCAGTGCCATGCAGGGGAAGAGAATAAACAAGTATGTGCAACATTTAAACATTAAGACTTTCATTACAGAACACTTCCCTGATTTTGGACACTCAACATGAAGCAAAACAGAGGTACAAGCATTATTGACGTTTAGAGATAAAGATACTTAAAGCCATTAGCTTTCTGGCAAAAAAATAAATCTGAAAACTGCTGGTCTTTCATATTTAAGGATCCAGATCATCACACCTACACCTTTCACTAGTCTCATAGTTAACTATTCAGTTCACTCAGAGCTAGAAATTATGAGGGTTTGTTGGTTTTAAATGAAGTTAATCAACCTGTAAAAGCCTGAAGGCTGAGAGACAAAATGTAAAGAAGTAGTTCTGGTAGGCAAAATGTAATAGTTTAATTGCTCACCTTTTAGGAATAAAAATCTATTCAAATAATATTTAGCAAGTGACAAGGGTAGTCAGAAATCTGGGTGGTCCAGCTGTTAAAAAACTCAATTGCCAAGACAAAATTTTAATCTGCCCAAATCAAAGAACTATTTCATGCCAAGAATGTACATGAACCTCTAAGAGCCGTATCACCAGCAAAGAACAACCTGCTGCTGAAGGCAACACCTGAGTGGAAGATGCAACAGCTGAAGTTTTTGTTTCCTGCAGCACAGGGCTTCGTGCTAACAAAGTTTCCTTTCGTTTTCTGCAAAGCTATCACATTTGCATTCCCTCTTTATTCTCTCGCAGTACTTGAAGTATAAGAAAAAAAACTATGTTACACTGATCTATAAGAAAGGGTGCAATGATAAATACAGGCAGCGCCAAGTTAGTCTAACCACAGTATTTAACTCTATCACCACGAATTCGAGCTCGGAGCTCTTCAGTAAAGATGGCTGACATTCGTAACAGCCCGGCATAAGGAACAGAATTACTCACCAAGCAAAGAAAGAGTCGATTGCTTAATACTAACTTCATACAATTGTCTTAGGACCTGAAATACAAGTTTTCACAGTACTGCTGTTAGCCTTTACAAGCAGCAAGTGCCCCTATTTTTGTATTCCAGCTAGGGAACCAGGAAAAGCAAGGTGCTATCGCTTGTAAGTCAGCTGAAACAGTTCTCTGAGCAAGCTTCTCTGGCCATCTCAGAAGTTAAGTGTGCATAAGCTTACTCAATCACTAAGCTCTCAAGTACAGATACTGCTTTACTAACTGCAGTGAACATACTAATCACACAGATCTTTGCCCCAGTGGGACCAGAGATTCCAAGCTGAAACTAAACAAGAATTTCACGCCACCACTGAGCTGCTGGGAATACTTCCCTGTAGATGTTTCCAAGTTAATTTTTGGTTGTTAAAGGTGTCTTATTTTAAGTATTTCTAATTTTAGATATAATTTTAAAATCTCAGACATGCACTAATTTTAATTCAGAGTATCTTCCTGTTTGAAGATATTCCCTAACAGCAGACATACACCTAGCACTCTCCGCATTTTGGAACTTCCAGGCAACACTGGGCTATTTTCAGGATAAAAGCTATCCCAACCGCTGCTGTATCCACCGAAACAGCAGAGCCCCACTACTACAGAGCAACCTCTGTATTAAGTGAAGCTAGACAATGTCATTACAGTAATGCCTGACGATCTTGAAAGAAATATAGCTTTAATTATTCCTTTAAATAAATGGAAAGCCTCCAGTACCTCAAACACAAAGGAAGCTATAGCCAGGTCATCAGACTACAGGCTCCCAGTGAGGCAGAACAGCAGGACCCATAACTCAGCTAGCCTAGAACCATCAGACATCACGTAACTGAACACACCAGTATCACTATTAAACAGCAGAAACACTGGAGATGTTCATTGTCACCTGCGGCCAAAGATAAGAATTGTATAGGCAAAGAAACAGGCAGTTTAATTAGATTACACATAGAAATAAAAACTGATAGCGAAAGACACGAAAAGAAATCCAGCCCCATCCTGAAACCTGCTACCCATATGTAGTCTAGGGCAAGCAGTGACGAGCATCAGACTTCTAGCTAGCAAACAGCTTTCCTTTGCAAATCTGGAATTCAGACAGTACTGCCAGAGTTTAAGCCTTCATTAAAAGAAGGCCTCGTTCGATTACTGGGTTAGAACTGACATACAGTGACACTCCAAGTCTACAAAGATATACTACTTCTGTAGTTTTATCAAGCTAAAGCTTGAAATGTACAGTCCCGTAGCTTTTGCAGTCACTATTCACACAGGGTGGTTTAGGAGCATTAAACAGTAGTGAAGCGTCTCTCCCTGTAACAGCTTCGCCCATTCCTGAGACAGCACTATCTGGAGTTTACGCTACAGACCTAACTTCTGTAAGCATGCGCATCCTTGGCTTCTTTGGCACAATACCTTCACGTATACTCCTGGAGCATAATTCACAACATATCTTTATTACAGCAGCTTTTACAATTGCTTTTTATCTATATTGCTCTCACCAAAAGGCTTTTTACTATCACAAATTTGTCAGCAGAACCAAAACATTCTGTACAGTTAAAAAAAAAAAAGACACCCCCCCCGACAAAATCTAGAGACGCTCTGGCATTCCCATGAGAGAAATCTCAGGGCATTGATTTTAAAAAAAACCACTAAACCAAAAAACC